TCATGCCTCATGCATATGAAGCCCCCTTCTTGCACACCATGGCGTGATCGCCATCATAGGAAGAGCCACACACGCATTGGGAGGGCAAACCTTCTACTGGCCGACCATACCTTAGAGCAATGGCATCTGTAAATTCTTGTTTGTTAAGGCTGAAACCATTTGCCCTTATCGGTAACGTAGTTAACCAGTTCGAGGCGCCCACCTCCTGCGCTATAGCTACTTTTTTTGTCAAATTTTCTGGAACCAGCAGCAATAGTTGCTGCAACATGTCATTTTGGCAGTGCTGCTGATCTGTTGTAATGGACCTACGGATCTTATTAACTTCGCTGGTGTCCACTTCCCCTGTTGCATTCTGGGCTATTATGTGGTCAGTGAGGGCTGCCGTGAGCTTAAGTGAATTTTGATGTTCAGAGTCAGCAATCTCCTCTGGATTAGTTAGTCCCATCCCTCCCAGTCTTGGTGGAAGTGCAAGAAGTGTTCTTTCTGCTCGGGTTAAGTCAGGGTGTTTCACTAGTTTGGGAATGAACTTGACACTGATTGCTTCTTCTTCCTACTACTACTACTACTACTACTACTACTACTACTACTACTACTGCTAAACTACTTCAACATTATCTTGATAACATAAAAGTACTGCTAAAGGTTATTATCACCTGTTACCTGGGTGACATGTTACAGGTAGTGATACATCTACAACTAATTAAATGTTACCTGAATAAAATATTTAACAAGTAGTCAGAAAAGTCTTCTTTAATAACTAATTTAACTGGAAGAAATAAAACGAAATATAGATTTTGTTTGTTTAAAAGTCTAATGTTCTTAAAAGAGTCATTTCCTGTGACAATAATTATGAAGACATCAACATGTTCAATATATGAGGCAATATGTTCATTACTGTCAACATCACTCATTGAACATAATCCCAAAACTCTTAAATAAAATATTTCTAACAATTCGCAGTTAAAAATTTGACGTAAAAAAATCTACTAATATATAATGAAAGAAAAAAACCCATCTTCTATCATTTATTTTGTAATTATACCTGACTGATAGTTAATTAAACCATGAAGGTAAAATTATGAAACACGAGCTGAAGATGACAGGTAAAAACTACACACACACAGCATAATCACATCGATATAAAAAAGTCATTAGAATATTTCATGCATATTTAACACCTGGGATGCATTAGTAACTTCAAAACACACAGGTACATAAGTTACTATGATACAGGTATCTATAAAAAGTAAACAAACAATTACAGTATAATTCGATTCAATATTAACAAAAGTATAAGAACAAAAAAATAATAACAGATATAATTTTTATATTAAGGATATTTATGGAATTATTGTTATTGTTCTCGCAGAGGAAAACAAAAACACAACGAATAACACAACTGCCAGCCAATGAGATAAAGAACGGATATATCTTGTGTTTACCTGACAGTGATAGATATGTTAAGATAAATTATAATGAAAATATATAATCGATATGTTTTAAATGTTACTTGAAACATCTAAGGATAGAAATTATCGAGGAAAATAGGAAATTGTTCTATCAGACACGAGTGATTATATTTATCTGATAGACAATATTAATATCGAAATAAAAGTGTAATTACGAAGTTGTTTGTTGTTCAGCTGTTAATACGCTGGTAATTCATATTGAAGGGAGAAAATATATATATCAGAAACGTGGAGTACATTTCTGAGAGGTAAAACTCACACTGACACGAAACTAAACATACAAAACTCTGTGTTGAAGAGTAAAGGTTTTATCAATGGTTGAAATATATAACAAAAGATATTATCAATAATATTTTGTTCACTATAACATAAAAAGTTGTAGTAACATCGATTTAAAATTATAAAATACGAATTTGTGTATTGGTAACCAGAAGACAGTGGTGTAGTCATAAGCTGGGAGAAGAGTCAACCGTAGTGACCCATTGTTTTTGGTACAATTATTGTCCCAGATATTTGTGGTAGGTAATTGTCCCATCACAATGATGATGAATAAAGTGAATTGTTAGTTAAGGATGAAACCTGACATCTGGCGTAGAATGTGGACAGTGTTAGAAATATTGCATCTGGTAATTAAAAATCTAATGGTTAAAAACAGATAATGGAATATTTCCACTGAATATTGAGATTTTCTTAATAATATTCTTGTCAGACTAACTTTGTATTTACACGAAAAAATATAAATAAATGGAATATGCGAAAGAACGATTTAAGCAAATGGTCTCAAGGAAAATGCTTTTCAAAATTAATTATGTCAGTGTTGTATGATACCAGACTGACAGACCGTAGTCATAATATAATATAGTTGTATTTACGTCAGGGCAAAAATTAAGGTAAGAGTCAAATGCTAATCATTAATGAACAATAAAGTCCGATAAGAAACTTTTACCTTTATACACCTGACATATGGCGGAAAAGTAGGACCTTGTGGAGTTTAAAGCCAAGACGAAAGGCAATCATACTGGCACATTGTCCTTCTTTCAATTATTGCCCCACCTTTTGGTGATGGGTCATAACCAATAAAAAAGTATATATAGTAGATATATAACAACAGTCCATATACACACGGACTTCCATATACAAACAATGCCTCACTATAGCATTTCCGCGATAACCTGGTTTGCTCAAATACTCCTGTATGTTGACGTACCCTAGTTCTACATATGGCAGGCTTCAATGAAAAAGTTCCATAGAAGAGCTCAAGGATCCGATGTTGTAGGATATCCAGGGATAAAGTCAGGCAATGCTTTGGGACGTGTCTACACGGTTCACCCCAACAACTTTGAATGCTATTGTTTGAAACTACTTTTGCAACACATCCGTGGCCCAACATCATATGCAGCACTCAAGGTAGTGAATGGACAAGTCTGCAGAACCTATCAGGAAGCGTTCAATCTCCTTGGCCTACTGGAAAATGATGGTCACTGGAATGACACATTAGAAGAGGCAGCAGCTACTCAATCGCCAATGAGAATGAGGAACCTGTTTGCCATCATGATTGCTACATGTGGACTTTCCAATCCAAGCCAGCTCTGGAAAAACAACCAAGAAAGTCTTTCAGAGGACTTGCTTCATCAACCAAGAAGAGAACATCCTGGTCAGGAGATTGAGTTCATGGATGACATGTTCAACAGGACTCTGATCATGCTGGAAGACAAAGTGATGGAGCTATGAGGAAAGAACCTGACTGATTTTGGATTGCCTTCCCCAAACCGAGAAGAACCAGTAGTTTCAAACAGGGAGTTGCTCAGAGAGACAGACTACTCAGTTGAAGTTCTGGTGAATTTTCTTGAAGAAAATGAGCCTCACCTGGTGCCTGATACAAGCGGAGCAGGGAGGTATGATCTTTCTCGATGCACCTGGCAGGACAGGAAAAACATTCCTGATCAACCTTCTGTTGACCAAAAGTACGTCATAGGGGGCAAATTGATCTTGCTGTGGTATCCTCAGGCATTGCCGCAACACTACAAGAAGCAGGACGTACTGCACACTCAGCTTTTAAACTGCCTCTCAACCTCGCTCACAATGAAAATCCAGTGTGCAACATCAAAAAAGGATCGGCAAAGGCAAAATTCTTAGAATAATGCAGCCTCATAGTCTGGGAAGAATGCACTATGCCTCACAAGTTAGCGTTTGAAGCATTGGACAGGACCTTGCAAGACATACGAGAAAATGACCATCTCATGGGTGGCATTACAATGGTCATTGCTGGAGACTTTTTTTGCCAGCCCTTACCTGTCATTCCTCGAAGCACTCCAGCTGATGAACTGAATGCGTGCCTCAAGGCATTATACCTTTGGAGAAGTGTTCAGGCACTTGCCCTATCCACAAACATGAGGGTACATCTACAAGGAGATCAGGATGCTGGACGGTTTGCAAACCTTCTACTACAGATTGGGAATGGAACTTTCCCTGTTGATTCAGAAGGACAAATAATCATTCGTCAAGGATGTGGAAATGTTGTAAAGTCCTCAACTGAGCTCACTAACATGGTCTACCCAAACATTATCCACCACTACAAGGATCACAAGTGGCTGCGTGAACGCGCTATCCTGGCACCAAAGAATGAAACAGTGGCTGAAATGAACATGACTCTACTCAGACAGCTTCCAGGCAGTGAGACCTCATTCAAATCTGTTGATACAGTAATCGACCAGGACCAAGCAGTCCAGTACCCTGCAGAATTCCTTAATTCTTTGGAGCCCGCTGGAATGCCTCCTCACCACCTCACTCTCAAGAGTGGAACTCCTATAATGCTCTTAAGAAATCTTGAACCACCAATCCTCTGCAATGGCACAAGACTGGTGGTGAAGAACATGATGCCTCATGTACTGGAAGCTACAATACTGACAGGAAAAGCTAAAGGAGAGGACGTTTTTATACCAAGGATACCTCTCATCACCACTGACCTGCCGTTTGAGTTCAAGCGACTTCAGTTCCCGGTTAAAGTGAGCTTTGCCATGACCATCTACAAAAGCCAGGGACAGTCCCTAAAGATGGTTGGCCTAAGCCTGGACAGTTCTATGTTGGATGCTCGAGAGTGGAAACTGGCAAAAATCTGTACATAATTGCTGCTAATGGCAAAACCAAAAATGTGGTCAACCTTAATGCACTACAGTGAGAAAATGTGGAGCCTCCCGGAGGGTGGGGTCCTACTGTGACCTAGCGAAAGAGCCGCCCGGAGGGCGGCGATTCCGTTAGTGTGTATATATATATATATATATATATATATATATATATATATATATATATATATATATATATATATATATATATATATAAAAGTGTGTGAGAAAATGATGGGTTTCAACAATGAACTTAGAGTATTACAAAAGTTCAATTACTAAAACAAGTTTAATATACATGGCAGGAAATAATAATAAACATGTACTGTACATGTGTATGTGAGCCTAACAAAGAGAAAGTTGACTACTGGCCATATACAGTACACAACGCAACAAGACCATGGACGATAAATATTGGTATGTGAGGGCTGTCACTAGTCACACGTAAAATTTCGGAGCAAATCGACCCCCACCTGCACAGATAGTTGTTTTAGCTACTGTACAGGACACTTTTTTATACGACAGTGGTGTTGGACACGAAACGAATATCAATGAACACATAACTGACTCACTTATTGTACAACATCTTAAACTTTGTCGTCACTTTGATGAAATAATATTGTTCTTGTTTATAATCAGTGTTGAATGATACGTGGCAGGTCATAGTCAAAGCATCACAACATATTTAAATTGTACGTACGCAAGAGCAAGAAATAATTGTGAAATACCAACAATGAACAATAAATTCGTGGCAGAAAGTGACTGGCACATGAAGACTATTAAACTATACAAACGTAAACTTGTATTGAAGACGAGAGATTAACTAAAGTAACAAAGAAGGCGAGTGATTACAACTGTTAAAACTTAGTGCTTCTATTAACCTGATGGGCTAAATGAAGAAGAAATTAAATCTACCTGTACAGTTAGAACGAATAGAACCAGCAGCACAGGGAGTCTCACAGGAAATATGGGTCTGTACGGGAAATATTCCATCAGAAACATATAGTCTTGAAGAAACGACAGAGATAAGAATGTATGAGTGAGTCGTAGATACACTTCCATAAACAAGACATACACTCACAGAATCCCTGATACAATGGTTTATGTCTCGAACAGTGAACAGAAGCACAGATGTCTAGCTATGTGTACTAAAGTGAATGTTTAAGATTAGAGTATTTTTCAATGGTTGAGAATTATAATGAAGGGTTTGGTCATGATAAATATACGTGTGTGTGTGTGTGTGTGTGTGTGTGTGTGTGTGTGTGTGAAGAGCAATCAGGAACACAAAGAAATCTAGAATAAATATTTTTGTAGACAGAATATTATCGTGAAAATATTACGATCAATCTATGGAAATATAAGCTAAAATTATTGTAAGAAAATGAAGTTGTAGTGATTTTAAAGTTAGTGGGTTTATAAAAAAATATATAATGTACACACAGTCAAACAAGTGTCTTAATGGAGGGGTCCGATAAATGTTAAAATGAACACTGTGACTCCTGTTGTCTCAGTAGGGTTGTCAAAATCCTTCGTCCGCTGTGTCATATTGTCTAACACAAAAGATAATTTTAGGTTTATGTATACACCAATCTAAAGGTAACATTCAACCTTAATGATGGATCGTTCTTACTACAATTATTCCCTGGATATTTCTAACACAATGGTATAAAAAAAAAAGATTATGAAATTGTGAAAGAACTCATCTGTGATAGTTTTCATTCCATTCCACGAAATGAAAAGTAATATAGGAACATTTATGCTGAATATTAAAACCATCGTCATATTAATACCTCTGTCACGCATATTTTCTCTCATAAGAAAAACACAAGACATCAACACCGAAATACAATGAAATAAATGAATGTCTGAAGTGGTGTTAGGTACAAGACTGAAGGGTGTAATAGAAGTGTAGTTATAAATGAAGTTATCACCGGTGTCATCCCCACACCTGTAGTACCATCAGGTCATCTCCACACCTGTAGTACCATCAGCATCATCTCCACACCTGTAGCTATCAAGGTCATCTCCACACTGTACTCATCAGCATCATCTCCACACCTGCAGTACCACCAGTGTCATCCTCACACCTCCGCATCAAGTGTCATCCCCACCTGTAGTACCATCAGCATCATCTCCACCCTTAGTACCATCAGCGTCATCCCCTGTGTACCATCAGGTTCTCCACACCTGTAGTACCATCAGCATCATCTCCACACCTGTAGTACCATCAGCGTCATCTCCACACCTGCAGTACCACCAGTGTCATCCCCACACCTGCAGTACTACCAGGTTTACCTCCACACCTGCAAGATTTTATTTTTCTTTCAAAAACAAAATTATATATACAGAACACACAAACGTAGCCTGAGACACAGCTTAAGACGTATATTTTTTTCAGTTACTAACATATCGGTTATCGCCTTAACATCGTCAGAAAACTCTACACACAGACAGACGAAATGCAAAAAAAGGTGGAAAATAATCATAAAAATAATTGATTGAAAAAACAAAGCAAATTTTTTTTTTTTTATATCATTTTTATCTTTTTTTCTAGAGACTCCAATAGTTACTTTCATGCATCTATCCAGTCTCTACTTTCCGCTGGTTCTTCTTCCCTAACTTTATCCATTAATATCTCTATCATCATCCAGTTATCTCTAATTATATGGACTAAGTATCGAATTAATCTCACTAAATAAATTTCTAGTATTATTCTTATTACTGTTACCAATGTTAGAGTATTTTTTTTGTTTATAACAACAATTGTCATTAATATTTTCCTACAACGCAACACTTTGGATAACCTCTCGCCTTCTGGCCTCCATTGACACTGTGCCCAGGTCTTGACTCCTACTTACTCACAGCATGATCAAATAACTCTGAAATATGGCTCGTATACACCCTGGCGAGCCTAAAGGACCCACCATCTATAACACAAAAGTCATATTACACACACACACACACACACGTTTTGTGATGTCAGTATATATTAGTTCATCTGTTCGTACTGTCGAGGCAGATGTTTAAAATCGATTAGAGCTTCAAACATTGTGGCTAAGTGATAAATACTCTATGTCTGGATGCATTAGAACACATAGTATTTCCTGGCATTATCTACCCTAAGACCAGAAGGTTTCCAAACAAACAAAACGCCGTAAAGTGTTCAAGTTGAGAATGTTTGAATCACTACACATCAGAGTTCGAACCCTGAAGTAAACAGTTATGAATCATCGACTTGAGTCTTGATGTATTGTTATATTATTACTTATAATATAATTTCTCTATATTATGAGTTTTATTATTTACGTAACTCAAAGTTTTAAATAGTAATATAATATTTTAGTTTAATTACTAATGTATATTTAAGGACTTATTTAACATTCATGATTTGTAATTATATTGAAACTTCTATTAATTACCTTTAGACTTTATTAATTACCTTGAAAGTTTATCAATTACACTGAAAATTTTATAAATTACCAAAATAAACATAAAAACCAGGAAAAGAAATAAAGATAAACACAAAAATACGGAAAATAAGCAAAAAATAAACGAAAAATAAGAAAAGAAACAAAAATAAGGAAAAAAACCAAGATAAATATAAAAAAATAAATTAATAAAAAGAAAGAAACGAAAAATGCGGAAACAAAACCAAGATAAACATAAAAATAAGGAAAAGCAATAAACACAAACTAAGAAAAAATAAGGAATAAAAAAACTCAAAATAAACAAGAATAGGATCAAGAAACCTTAATTAACACAAGAAGAGTTAATAGAAACCACAATATATACTTAAAAAAGAAACAGAAACGATATTAAATAATTTAGGAAGAAATAAAACAAAAAATAAAAATAAATAAAAGAGTAAAAACAGAATAAATCAATAAACATTAATAATATAATAATCCTAATAACACAGCCACAGGTTAAATAATAAAGGTAATAACGATAATAAAGGTATATTAAATAAATCTTACCTGTTGGCAGAGGTTGACGTGTGTGTGAGGTGACTGGATGAGATGCTGGATGAGGTGACTGGATGGCGTTCTTCCACTACTTTCATTAGCTTGTGACGGTTTTCTGATCCATTGACTGGCTGAGTGACTGACTGGATGAGTGAGTAGGCTGGTGTTGCTGGTTCATCGTAATGCCTGGGTGTTGACTGGTGAGTGACTGGGGAGAGGTGGTCTGGGGTGACTTTTCAACTGTTAAGTATTTGTTTCACTAACATTCTGCAGGGTGCTATCTGTAGACTGGAACTGACTGTTTATACACTCTGGATCTATATTGTAGCTTTGTCGACTGTTCAGAGACTGTCCGCTGTACCTGACTGTCTCCCTGACCCCCGTGGCTCTAACTGACTCCCAGACTCAACCCAGAACAGAGTCTTGAATATAGGTATGTCTCGTGGTAACTTCTGATTGGCTGTCTGGCTGGCTCGACACGTAGGCAGAAAGATAACGATTCCAGTCCTCTGATTGGCTAGCGGGCTACAATCAGATGTTCGGATAAACGATAACGGAGAGACTCGATGGTGTTATCTAGGCGGGTTGGGTAAGTTGTGTATCGTGTCAGGCACCACGTTATCTTTATGGAGCAAGATATCACTACCACCACTACCACCTTACTACAACCATCATCTGTACCACCACCACGTGTACTATTACTACCACCACCACCACTATTACCACGTGTACTATTACTACCACCACGTGTACTTTTACCTTACTACAACCATCACCTATACTACTACCACTATCACCACGTGTACTATTACTACCACTGCCACCACCACTATCACCACCTGTCCCTCTACTATTATCACTACTACTACAGCGACCCAAAATACAATCTTGTCCTGGCCTGTGACCCCACATGCAGAGGTAGCGTTAATTACTAATCACTTTGATATGATGTGTTTATTTATATAGTTTTATTGAATTAATTTAAATTACGAACACATAATGAATTTCAATAAGTTTTAATGGACGAAATGAAAAGCACAAAATTTCAAGAATATTAAACTATTGCACACTTTTTTCAGTGGTTAACGTGGTGTTGATGTATTCTTGGAGTGAGCTCTTATGAGGTTTGATTGTAAGGTGATAAATTCTTATAATTAAAAAAATAAATTTCAGTAACTTTTTTTTTAATATCAGACAAATGTAAAGTACATGTATATATAACCATCGATTTTACAATAAAAGTAAACTAACATAACAAGGAGAGAAAAATAATATATCACACTTCTTAACATTTAAAAAAAAAAATCGTGCGCTCAAAACCAAAACGTCATCACGGTCGCTGAGGTAAACTCCCAACACCCGAAAAATAACGCTTATTTGGGGCGTCTGATCAAATGCTTCAATGTCATTAAAGGCTTTTTTGATTGAAAGGAGATACTTAAAAATCGATATAAATTAAGAATAACAGAATAACAGAAAATTTGGCTCTGGGTTTTTAACACCAGCAACCGTAACGGAAGGTTAATTACAAAGTTTGAGAAGGGAAAAATCCAGGATTTACTCAGTGGCTACCATGACACTGCCTCATTGGAGGGAGTTCTTCTAAGACTGGTTTTATGTTGATGGGCAGAGCAGAACGCAACTCAGGCTGAGGATCACGGTTCCTTGCTTTAGTCTTGATCATAACAAGACCTACAAATCCCTGTTCAGAGATATATTGTTGGAAAAGAGGAGAAGAGCTCTCACAGCCTCCTGAGTCAGAATGGGCTTATCCTGGAGTTGGGTCCAAAATTTCCAATACTGGAGGCTTTCAAAGCGTTTCTTCTGCATTTGATTTTCCTGAAGGTCTATATATTCTTCTTGAAATCCTGAAATATCTTCTCCACCACTAACGTGCACACTGAACACATTCCTCATCCCGCTATGCTTCTCAGGGTCGACGTTTTCTGGAAAATACCTGTCCATTTCTTCCTTATCACCCGAGTAATGGAATGTGAACGGACTCAAACATTACTATGTTAGGTGTGTGTGGATGCTTTATTATCCACAACTATTCGACCTTAGTTAGTATTTCAAAAATTGTGCCAGTGACGTCATCCAATTATAATATTGTAATATTTCATAAGTTTGTCTTTTTTTCCTACACCATCCCTTAAGCTAAGCAAAGCTAAGGTATATTGCTAAGCTAAGCTAACCACCCCAGGTAACGTAGGGTGTTTCATCATCAGATGAAATAAGCTGGGGAGTGTACTCATCCGGTCACCAGGAAATCTTAGCTGTTGAGGCAGTGAGTTTATCAGTATGTGAGGCCAGTAAGTGTTGATAAGATAACTGTGAGGGACTTATGTGGTAATGAACCGTGTGTGTACTCTCTCTCTCTCTCTCTCTCTCTCTCTCTCTCTCTATATATATATATATATATATATATATATATATATATATATATATATATAAAGTGCTACACCTCGGAAAATATATTATACTTCACTGACACTCAATTAGAATTTAATTGCCAACAGATTGCCAATGAATTTAGATTAGTTTTGATTTCTGTTCCGAGTTGGTCCTCAGAGGCACACCTGCCTGGCACTCTTTAACCTCGTGTGAAATACTGAATATTCAACAGGTTCTAACTGGCACCTTATATCGACCATTTTCCTGAGATCACGTACACTGTCTGTCTGTCTGTCTGTCTGTCTGTCTGACTGACTGTCTGTCTGTCTGACTGTCTGTCTGTCTGTCTGCACTTCATCATACATAGGCGTCTCCTCTCTCCCCACACCTCCCTCACACCACCTCCCCACCTCCTCACCACCTCCCTCACCACCTCCTCCCCTCCCCTCTCATCTCCCCTCACACCCCTCCCCACCTCCTCTACTCCCTCTCCCTCACCTCCCTACCTCCCCTCCCTCTCTCCCTCCCCACCACCCCCACCTCCCTCTCCCCACTCTCCTCACCACCTCCCCCACCACCTCCTCACCACCCCTCCCCCCTCCACCACACCCCCCTCCCCACCTCCCTCCACCCACCTCCCTCCCCCCTCCCCTCCCCCCTCCCCTCACCCACCACCTCCCCTCCCCCACCCACTCCACCCTCCCCACCACCTCCTCCACCTCCCTCCACCCCCTCCCCTCCCTCCACCACCTCCTCCCACCTCCCTCACCCCCTCCCTCCACCACCCCCACCACCTCCCTCACCCTCCCCTCACCACCTCCCCCCCTCCCCCCACCTCCCTCCTGCGTCCCACCACCTCCCCTCACCACACCCCCTCGTCTCCCTCACCCACACCTCCCCTCCCCACCTCCCTCACCTCCCTCCCCTCCCCTCCCTCACCACCTCCCTCACCACCTCCCTCACCACCTCCCTCACCACCTGTCCTCCTTATTCCTCTACACACCGAACAACTCGCTATAATGAGACACTGAACACTTAACGCCAATTCCTACTCTACCACACTGGAATTCCTATACTCTACCACCTGAATCCCAACTCTACCTGGAATTCCTAATCCCACACTGGATTAACTCTACTGGAATTCTATCTCTACTGGATTCTATAATCTACCACTAGTTAACTCTACCATTGAAATTCTATACTCTACACACAATTGAATTCCCACACTGATTCCAACTCTGCACTGGATTTATACTCTCACCCATAGTTCTCTCTCACATGATTCTAACTCTCTACCACTGGATTCCTGCTCTACACTGGATTCCTATACTCAACACACTGGAATTCCAACTCTACAATTGGAATTCATATGCTCTACCACACTGATTCTGCTCTACACTGAATTCAACTCTCACTGGAATTCCTATACTCTACCACCTGGAATTCTCTACCACACTGGTTCTATACTCTACCACTGAATTCAACTCCTACCACACTGGATTCCTACTCTCCACACTGGAATTCTCTACTTTCCTCCCACGTTCAACTCTACACTGATTCTATGCTCTCTGGTCCTATCCTACACTGGATTCTATCTCTCTGGAATTCTGCTCCCACAGATTCCTGCTCTCTCTGGATTTATGCTCTACACTGAATTCTATACTCTACCACACTGGAATTCTATACTCTACCACACTAATTCCTAGGTACTTACTACACACTGGTCAATTCTGCACACTGAATTCCTACCTATACCACTGGAATTCTATACTCACACTGGAATTTATCTCTACATGGAATACTTATACACTGGAATTTAATTCTCCACACACTGGAATTCAACTCACACCTGGAATTCCTATACTCTACCTGGAATTCTACTCTACCACACTGGAATTAACTCTACCACGTTCTCTCACTAGATTCCTATACTCTACCCACTGAATTCCAACTCTACCTGATTGAATTCTGCCACTGGAATTCCTATACTCCCTGGTCTCTCTACCACACTGGAATTCTATACTCTCTCACACTGGAATTCTCTACCACACTGGAATTCCTATCTCTCTCCGAATTCCATCACACTCTATACACTGGATTCTCTCTACCACTGGAATTATGCTCTATAGATTCCAACTCTACCACACTGGAATTCCTGCTCCCCTACACACGTTTCTACTCTACCCTGGAATTCTCTCTAGATTCTACACTCTGCGGAATTCTACTCTACCACACTGGATTCACCTCTACCACTGGATTCCTGCTCTACCACACTGGAATTCCTGCTCTCTCACACTGGACATTCCCTGGTTACCTGCTCTACCACACTGGAATTCCAACTCTACACTGGAATTCCCCACTCTACCCACACGGTTCCCTGCTGCTCTACCACACTGGAATTCCTATACTCTACCACACTGAATTCCTATACTCTACCACACTGGAGTTCTATATTTCTACCACACTGGAATTTCATCTCTACTGAATTCCTATTTCTACACAGATTCCACCCCCACACTGGAATTCCTATACTTCACCACACTGGAATTCAATCCCACCACACTGAATTCCTATACTCTCACACTGGATTTATACTACCACACTGGAATCCCTATATTCACCACACTGGAATCCAACTCACCACACTGGAATTCTATACTCTACCACAATGGAATTCTATACTCTACCACACTGAATCTAACCTACCACACTGATTTCTATACTCTACCACACTGGAATTCCTATATTCTACCACACTGGAATTCCAACTCTACCACACTGGAATTCCTATACTCTACCACACTGGAATTCCAACTCTACCACACTGGA